GGTTTAGGGGCAATGCTCTTCTTCACGTGACAGATTTCCCCATGTTCCACTGGCCTGAACCAAGGGGCACTTGCTGGTTCTGCTTCACCGCCCGGGTGGGTTTTATTGCTCAGCCCTGGGGACTCTTAAATGACCCTTTAGTAATTATTACACACTTGAAGCCCCTACACCTCCCGTTCTGGGGCTATCAACAATCACATCAAACCCCAAAATAAACATATGATTTCAAGCATTAATTAGAAAATCTCCATGTTGCCAATAAGGTTAGAAAGTAAGTGTACAGCGGTCAACCAAGTCAAACAAACAAGCGAAAAAGAAAAATGCTGTGAACCCAGCCGACTCTGGCGTTTGCCTTCACGTTGTTCCAGCAGAGAAACCCTTACAGCTACACTGACAGAAAAGAACACAGCATGGTATGCTAATTTAATTCACGTTCTGGTATCTGATTCTTTTTTTTTTAATGGGGGTTGCTTCCTTGTTGAGTATTGTAAGGGCGTCGGGAAATATAAAATATGTCCCAAAGTACAGAGATGATGATGAGGTCAAATTCCTGATTCTAACAAATGGTGTGGATGGGCTGTCTCCTTTAATAAATTTCCGATGCCACTAATCTATGATCCCACACCCCATTATTTTAGTCTGTGGGAAACTTCGTCCTCCGCTGTCCAGGACCTCAGTCTTACACCAAAAGCCCTCTCCCTGCTAACTTGGGGAAACAAATGGGCTTGCTCTTCCCTCGGTGACAGTACTCGCTTAGTGACAAAACCCCTCTTTTCACGCACACACTGGACATGAAATATTCCACGGACTTCAAAACTTTATTAAGGCTGGGGATTTAGCTCAGTGGTTCCGCCGCCTGCCTCGCACGCGCAAGGTCCTGAGTTCGATCCCCAGTACCAAAAAAAAAATTAACTGGCTTATATTTTTAAAGAGATGAAGTCGTTTGTCCTGGTCAATTTTAGAAAAGCTCAGAAGCTCACAACCAAAACGGGCTCAAGCAAAACTTCTGTCATTTTTACTTTCTCAAATTAAAAAAACCAAAAACCAAAAAACACTCTTCAGCAATGTCCATTTGGAAGGGAAAGATAGGAACGCGATACAAACTCCCAAACAACCTCAGCTTGAAGCCTCCCGTCCTACCCTTTGAAACCGTTGCAAACCTCCCACGCTCACTTGTGATTCTTTTTAAAGGGCGGGGGGACGCAGGAAAGTGTATCTCTAGCCCCAATCAAAACATCAATTTGGCAATCTGGCCTCTTTCCCCTCGCACTCTCGAACTGCCACTTCAAAGCCGCTACAACAAGTCAGTAATTGTAACGATGCATCTAAATATTGAAGCGAGAGTCTTGCAGGCGCGTGTCCATTTACAGTCTTCGTCTGTCCTCTAATTCTATTACAGCACGAAGCAAAAATATTGCCCAAAACTCACAAACAGGAAAAGCGTCAGCCCGGGGGGAGGAGGGGAGGAGATGATGAAGGAGCAGTTTCTATTGATTAGTCCCCGCTTTTGTGTGAAGGGCTTTCTTTAAAATAAAAAAAAAAAAAAAATTGGGGGGAGGCTGCAGAAATTTCACTAATGTGAGCCTCAGGCAAGGGAGAAGAAAAAGAGAAGGGGGAGAAGGGCTTTCTTTAAAATAAAAAAAAAAAAAAAAATTGGGGGGAGGCTGCAGAAATTTCACTAATGTGAGCCTCAGGCAAGGGAGAAGAAAAAGAGAAGGGGGAGGCGGGCTGTGTCTAGATGAAAGTGAGGAGGACATAAAGGGGGCAATTGAGTCGGCTGCAGCCCGGCGAGCTAAGCTGCGAGGCGGCCGGAGCGCAGGGGAGGGGGCGGCGCGGCGCGGCTCTTTGGCGCAGGGCGCAGGAGAGGGGGCCCAGCCCATTGTGGCGGCGCCCGCGGGCCGCTCCGCCGCGCCGAGAGGAACAGAGGCGCCCATTGAGCGGGCTGTGCCCAAGGCCCCCGGTGCCTGGGCCGGGGCTTGGCTCCTCCGGGTGCTCCTGCTCCGGTCTCAGTGCGGCCGCGGGCGGGGTTGAGGGGTTGGTGTTCCAGGGCCGCCGACCCTCTCGCTTCACCCCGGGGACGGGACGGGGGACCCAGTGAGGGCGCACAGCGCTTAGGGCCGGGTCGCGCCCGCCGCCGCGCACCTGGTCCCTGCAAGCTGAGAGCTCTTGGATTGGGCAAGGGAAAGGGGAAAGTTGGGAAGGCACAAAGGATCAGCTAGGAAAAGGGAGAGTCCCTAGAGAGGATGAGGGTAAGTTCTCGGGGTGCCTCTCTCCCCGTGTCCTAGCGCCCCCCCAGCAAACCTTGGGCCCAAGATGTCCCCGAGCCAGCCAGTCTCGGCAGGACCCACCGGGCGGCAACTTCCGGCGGCCAGCGAGAGCACCCCGCCGAGTCCGGGCCCCCCGGGCCCCTCCCCCGTCAGCCTCTCCCTCCCCCTCCTGCGGGGCTCTGGGAGCCCTTTCTCAACATTCATTCTGGTTTACGAGCGAGCCGAGCGGGGCAGCCAGAGACTATGGATGCCCAAACAACAGAGGCGAATTTTTGAGGTTTCTAAACTTCATACTCCGTCGCGGTCTGTCCTTTCTCTGGGCCCCTTTGGCGCTGCGGGGCTCATCCGGAAAAAGAGCTGAAGGCGCTGAAGAGACTCTTGACTCCACATCTTCCTTGACAACCCGAAATTAAATCAGGCTTCAGCCTCCGAGGGGTGTGTGTGTGTGTGTGTGTGTGTGTGTGTGTGTGTGTGTGTTTTGAACGGCACAGCCCCCACTGCGGAGAATATTCTGATTTTAAAATGGTAGCAATTGCCCCTGAATGGCAGCGGGCCCAGCTAGAAAGCCCAAAAGACCAGAAACATTTTGTAGGTGAAATGGCCACTTTTTCCACGCTGGAGAGTCCATAAAACTTCCTGGCGCAGCAGCTACTGGGGCTCATTGAATAATTCATCCCTCATTGCAAGCCCATAATGTCTATTCTGGCCCCTTTGTGGGGCTGTTTTCTCTTCTTTTCTCCTTGAATTATAAAAAGGTTGCCTTCCTTTGTTCACATCAAGCTGCTCCGAGCTGGAGCTTTGTCTGGCCTGAGCTAAAGTGTGAGTTTCAATGGACTCTCCAGGCTTTGTCTCCCAAGTTCATCTCCAAGTGTAGATTGTGTAGAGAAGACCTGCTTTGTAAAAGCTGGAAAAGTTGTACAAATGTTTGACCAGCTCATTTGGGACGTTTTGTCTCCTGGGCCTCGGTTGCCTGTGCTGCAAGGGAGCGGCTGGAGCTGCCTGGCAAGTGCCTCTAGCAACAAGTAGCAAAGCCAGGGCGGCAAGCCTCTCCAACTCTGGGCGCCTCCTGCCCGGCCTCGGAAAGGCATTTAGTTTGGGGTTGTCTGACTCCTTGGAGACTTACTTTCCTCCCACCCCAGCACCTCAGTCCTCTAGCTTCGGCTAGGGTAAAAGCAGAGGTATCTTCTCAGAGGCCAGGGCAGAAAACCAAAGAAGTCTCCTGCTATAAAGGGGGGAATGCAATAGCACATGATATCACCCTGCTGGACCTGCTACAGTTTGGGGTGGCTTTTGTTTCTGCATTAAAAAAATTTTTTTTCATGTTTTTATTCACAGTCCCGGGTATTGAACCCAGGAGTGCTCAGGGGCTCCAGCATGTGCATTCGATGCAAGCACTTCACCACCGAGCTAGATCCTCAGCCCTGGGGTGTCTTTTCTCAACTGCCTGCGTGCCCCGAGAGCATATGCTCTTCGATTGATCCCCGAAATCACCCATTTGGATTTGTAACATTCAAATCTAAGTGCTCCTTGTGTTGCGATTTTGCACTGGCTTGTAAGCAGCTGCCGTGGAAGGCCAGCAGCTGCCCTAGGGTTGGACAATGAAGGTACAGGAAGTGACCAACTTTCTGACCCAAGTCTCACCCCAGATGCAATCCTGGTGAGAGGACAGATCCCACTGGTCACAGTAGGTGACCCCTCCAAGCCCTCCTGGAGGCTCACCTGCCCCTCTGGGACAACCTCTGAAACTCAACTCAGCCCAAAGAAGTCCCAGGCCAGGGAACTCCAGGTGCAGGCAGGGCACCTGGCCCCTCCTGTCCGTCTGAAAAGATGCGACTATCAACTATGGGCAAAGCTAAAACGTTGAGACTAAATCCACCCTTCTGCTGGAGCAGTGCTCTTTTCCTAGTTGTCTCTCAAAGCATCGCCCCCCCCTTTCTGTTCAAAGATGACTCCAAGCAGCAGGTAAAGGGGAAGCTGGCTGCACTTCTTGCTCCCCTGGGGGAGATTTTCTCCTGGTGTTGACAAGCCACAGCCAACCTGGAGTGGGTGGTCCGCATCCCTGGGGACTGAGGGTACCATGCCAAGGACTCAAGAACACGAATCTCTGACTTGTTGCAATCCACAGCTTCGATTCCCAGATACACGCAAGTTAAACCCCGTCACCATCAGACTTGAAAACTAATTTAAAACAAATCAAAAACTGCCACCTTACACACGCACACGTAAACACAGACACGCACACGTAAAAACAGACATGTTCCTGAGGCAGATGTGGGGTAACCTCAGGTGCCCCCCCCCCCATTTCTCTATTTCTCTCTGTTTCTCTCTTTCCTTTCCTTTCCTCTCAAAATCTCTGGCTTTTCCTGAGGGCACACAAAAGCTACTTCAAGCTCAGAGCCCTAAATATCCTCTCTCCCTGGTCCTCACCCCAACCACTCAAGAGACCAGTTGTACAAGCACACACACACACACACACACACACACACGCAGCTCTCACCACCTTAGAGCACAATTAGAGACTCAAAGTGGTACAGGAGAAAGATTTACGCGATTTTAAAATTAGAAGAGAGAAGATTTTTGTTTACGTAGCCGGCGTCTCTCTGTTCTTTCGCTTGAAAACTCGACCCAAGCGCAGCGGCTGCGAGCGGAGGGACGAAGGGAGCCGGGCCTGGCCCGCCGTCGCCCGACGTCAGAGGCTCACCGCGCACAGCCCAGCCCAGCGCGGCCGCTTACCTCGCTCGCTCAGGATGCCGTCGATACTGTGTTTCGCCTTCTTCTCGCTTTCCTCTGCCTCCTTCCTCTCCAGATCCGCCTCCTCGTCTTCGCCTTTCCCGAATTTACTCCTCAGGATGCGGCTGATGGAACTCACTGGGAACAAGGGGAGGAAGGGAGAGCACCCGACTGAAGCCCAGACCTCCAGCCGCGGCTCAAGGACCTCTCCCGCTAGGGGTGAACCCCCACCACCCTTTTAGGGTCCTCCGGGTGCGGAAAGGCGAGTGTGAACGCGCCTCCGAGTTAGGGCCCAGAAAGGCCATCTCCGACCCTCCTCTGAGGAGGCTGCCTTCCTCACCCGGCACCGGCACCGGCACCGGCACCGGGGTTCTAGGTGTCCAACCCAAGAGCTTCCCCCTCAGCCCACCCTGGCCTCTCCCTGTCTCCTCTCCACCTGAAGAGATTGGCCCCGCGGTTCCAGTTAAGTGAGGAACCACGGAGGAACTGTCCCCTCCAAGGCAACTTTTGGAGGCTATAAAATCGGGCTTAAGTTTCAACTGCGGAATCGTTTCCTATTGTAAAAATCAAAAGAAAAGGCACTCTCCCTCATTTATTTTTTCCAGATTCCAGTGTAGTAAACAAATCCATGCTCTGAAATATATCATTCTCGCACAGGGGAAAAAGGGAGTTTCCTTTTAATTAAAAACAAACTCGCCCGCTGCCCGCGCCCTCGAGCTGGGCCTGGGCTGGGCTGGTCCTTCTCCCTCCTCCCCCGCTCCCCGTGAGCCCAAAGGCCCCTGGGACTCCCGGGGAAAATCGGGGTGATCTGGCTCCCTTCCCCGCTTTGAGCACCTCGCAAAGTCTCAGCTGGCCCGGCGGTCTCCCTTCGCTTGGGGTTACCAAAACATTTGTTCCTCTTTAAAGGGAACATCAATATTAATAAACGCTTGGCCTCTGCCTCAGCTTCCTGCTCTGCCTCCCCTGGGAAAGCCTCTTAGGGAGCCGTCAGCGGTGACCTCACAAACCCTGCACCCCTGGGACCAGCACCTCACCCTGAGGCCCTTAAGCTCCAGCAATGTCTTTGTGACTCTCTCAGGGCCCTGGCAGAGGCCGCCTCTGTAACTGGGGCGATTACGGCTGGGAAGACCCTGGCGGTGACGTGGCGCCTCTGAGAGAGATGCTGGGGCTCCTACCTGAGGGCACAGTGTTTCGATCACAGACCGAGTCCTTGAGCAATTTGTCTCTGATCTCCCAGCTGAACATGCCCGGGTTCTCTCTTTTGTACTCCTCAATTTTCTTCTCCACGTCAGGCGTTGTTACCTGCTTTAAGAGAACAGGCGGGCGGCGTTGGTACCCGGTACCCTAGGCCAGGCACGGTGAGGACCCCACTGCCGCAGGGCCTGTCTGGATGCTCCTTGCTGCATCCTCTGAGAACTGCCCCCCCCCCTTAGCCAAAAGACCTCAACTCTTCCATTTTAGAAAGAGGCCGGAGGAAAATCTTCCCACTCCAAACCAACCCCGGGATCCTCCACTTGCTCAGATAAGTTCAGACAACAGGGTTAAATAAAGAATTATAACATCCAGGAGGTGTGGGTTGTACTTTCTGGTCCCCGGAAACAAAGACAAGTCCTTACACTGAATCAACACGAAAATGAAACTAAAAAGGAAATGCTTGAAAGAGAAGCTGAAAAATCAAATTAGATCAGCAACTTGTGCCATGCCAAAGGGGCAATAAGATTGCAGTTCAAGTGAAGAATGGATTTAGATGCAAAAGTTTAAGTACCTGGTTTTTAAAAAATGACAGTGAAGAGCAAATAAGGATAATTGGAGAGAATGGCTCTTCACTCTCAACCCCACTCAAAAAGTGTTTTCAGAGATTCTTAGCTTGAGAAGGGTTTGGGGACTGGGAAGGAAGGACAAGACATGTAAGTCTTCACTTTGCTGCAACCTTCTAGACTTTGCCCCCTGGAAACTAGAAAGTCATATTGGCTGCCCCCCAAACTCGAAGAAAAGCCAGCCCCTGGGTGAGCCTCTCCCCTAAGAACTAAAATAATTTGAGGATAGCCCCAAACTGCTTTTTTAAACGGAGTCCTCAAGCTGATTACAAAGAAAATTAATCGCCTTGGCTTTGGCTCTTGGAAAACAATTTGCACTGAAGGAGACTGAAGGTTGGGAGAGGAACAATTAAAAAACAAAAAGACTCCTTAGACTTCTTTGGAAAAGAGCCCCACAGGGGGTGGGAGCTGGGAAGTCAATTGGGCAGGAAGCAGTAACAGGTAGGCGATTACAGCTCCAGTGATTTAAGTGTTTGTTAAAATAATTTGATGAGAATTCCAGGGCTCCTGAACATTTAAAAATGTTGTTTTTCCTTTGCAGAAGAAGCTGGAGATTGGAGATTTCCCGTAGTTCCTCAAGGAGCATCAGCCTCTGGCAACAGCTGAGTCCACTGCCCCAGGCTACACACACACACACACACACACACACACACACACACACACACACACTCAAGGACTTGAAAAATTGCTCCTTGGAAAGCCTCAGCTGGCACCACTTGCTCCCTGCCCTCCTTCCCCATCTGGCTGACTGCAGGCCATTAGGCGGCAGGGCCAAGCTGCGCTCACCTTGGGCTTGCTGCCGCCAATGGCACCAGGACGGATGGAGCCCGTTTCCTGGTACCTGCACAGGATCTTAGAGACGCAGCCGTGGGAGACGCGCAGCTGGCGGGAGATGACGCAGGGCCGAATGCCGTGGTGGGCCATCTCCACGATCTTGTGGCGGATGTGGTTGGGCAGCGGCCTGCCGTTGATAAAGACCCCTCCGAGCTGGTTGACCCGGCCCTGGCCAAGTGGGGTGGATACTGGAAGGAGAAGGCAACAAAGAGAAAGAAGCCAAGGGAAAGTCACTTGGGGAGAAGAGAAAGCAGCGAGGAGAAAAACCCACTTCGTTTTGCCTTCTTCCGGCCAATTTACACGTGACAGTTCCATCCCTGAAACGGCTCGACTTCCGACTTCCAGTCCCAGACCCTCTTTCAGCCTCATTTGTTCAAATCATTAAGCAACTCAGGAGCATATGATCCGGTGTGATGGGAGTAACCGGGCCAAGATAACTCGCTCCAGCTCCAGAGGAGCTGTCTTCCCGGGCAAACTGGAGGAAGAGCCTGGGGCTTCTGCGGAGTCTGCCTCACTCTAGAAATAGGAGCTGGCACCAAACCTCACCCCACGGAGCTGCCCCTGGGGTCTTGGGCGAGCTGACAGTCCCTGGGGTTTCTGTCTGGGCCTTTGCCGCAGTCAAGGGGGCGGGGGATCCCGAAAGGAGGCACAGGTGGCAACGCCCGTCACCTGTTACACCTCTGAACAGACAGCAAGAGCGGGCCCTCTCCCTGGGGTCCACCCATGCCCCACTGGGGCCGCCGGAATCCCTGCTCGGGCGCCCTGTCCGGGCCGGGGACATTGTCTGGAAGGGGTCGAGGAGAAAGCCCAACTGCCTGTTTCTCTGGGATTCCCCGAATCTCCGGGCAAACCCGAAAGGAGATTTCCAAACAAGTTAGAGAAACTTCGAGATTGAGTTGAATGCAACTGTACTTAATAAATAATAGTAATTCAATTCACGGCAGCGCGCGCCTCCTTAGCCACCATCCGAAAACTCTTCCCAAACTAACAAGCGTTTCGTAAAAGTGGGCACAGCCAAGACAATTCTGAAATGCCTTTGGGTGGAGGGAATGTGAAGAAGTTGCTTCCGGTGCTCCGAAGCCGGGTCGCTCCCTTTCTCACCACTGCATCTCCAAAACAACAGGGAAAAGTGGACCCGGCCCGGTGCAGGCCGAGCCTCCAAGCTCCGCGCTCCATTCGCAGACAGAAAATCAAGTAGGGCCCAGCCCCAACTCTTGCTTCCTGGGGAGGGAGCTGCTGGGGGAATGGGCTCCCCGGACACCCGAACGTCCGGGACCGGGTTGGGGGGCGGCCGATTCCCGGCCCAGGATCCGGCGGCGCTGCGGGCCTTCCTTACCTTCCAGCGGGAAGCCGCTGCGTGGGTAGTTCTGCCCCGGGCCGGGCCGCATCATCCTGGGCACTGCGCCGGCCAGCGTGGTCATCCTGGGGCAGCTCCGCTCGGAAATTATATCCAGGTGAAGGCGACCAGGACGGCGAGAGCGGCGAGGCGGTGACCCCGGGAACTCTCCGGAGCAGGAAGAGCTCCTCCCCAAAAGGGCTGGAGAGAGAGGGAGGGACGCGGGAAGGGGGCTTCGGTCTCCTAGTCCGGAGGCGGCCGGAGAGGGCACCCGGGAATGGGGCAGGCTGGAGGCCCCCGAGTCCAGGATCCCAAGCCCAGGGCGGAAAAGTTGGCCGCGATTCTGGGCGAACCGCCCCGCAGCTGGGGGCGCGGGAAAGGGGGCTCAGGGCGCCACGACCGGCGGGGAGGGGGCGAGGCTGGAGCGCGGCCTGAGTCTCCTCCCGTCGAGACCCGGAGTGCAGGGATCCCGGCTGGGGAGCATTTATTAGTTCTTTCACCCAAAGCTTGGTCAGGAGCCCTGGGCTGCGATTGGCCGACGGGGAGACCGTCCCGGGTGGCGGAGACACGCGCTGATTGGGCGACAGCGGCCACTTTCTCTTCCCATCCCTGACGGCGCCCAGGCCTGCGCCGGCCCCGACAGGGACCTGAGCTGCGCCCCTTCCCCGAGAGAGAGCGGGGCGGACCCACGGAGGCTGCGAGAGCCCCCCCGCGGGTGACTAGAGCGGCTGGGGTGGAGAGGTGGCCCTGTCCCCGCCTGTCACTCCCAGGGCCGTGTCTCTGCTTTCCCTCCCGGGCTTCCTAGCCCTCCGTCTCTCTGCGTGTCTCTCCGTGTTTGCATTTCTCTGTCTCTGACTCCCATTCAGTCACTGGGTGTCCATTTCCACCTGCGAGTCTCTCCGGATTTTCAACCTCTGCAGGGAGTGCAGTTCTTCTAAGAAGGTTTCGGGAGCCCCAGAGAAGGCTGCTTCCCCTCTCTCTGCGTGGTGGCCCTTGGCCTGGGCTTGCTGGGGGATCCTTCCTGTGGGGGTTCCTCTGGGGAAGAGTCCAGGGGGTGCATATAATGTTCTTTTGTCTTCTTAATCTGGGGGCGGGGGATGCGTGGGGTTTTTCGAGCATAGGCAGCTGTGACTAAACTCTAGGACTGTTAGTTGAAGGCTTAGGCTGGGGGGGGGGGGGGGGGAGTAGATCTCATCTTCTTGATTTAAAAACTGCTCTGAGAAACTGGGGCTCTAAATCTCTATGTAGAGATCCCCGATGCAGAGATGCGTCTATACGTTAAAAGTTTTGCCCGGCTGCGGCGTTTGTTCTCAGGAATTTATTATGGCATTCAGACTAAACTGCTGGAAAAATAAAAGGAGTGAAGTCTTGGCTAGGAGCTGAAGTGTCCCCAGCAGGATATGACGCCAGGAGTGTTGTAAAGACTGTCTGTCCTTAGAGAAGGTACCATTGTGCATAGCCTTTTATTTATAACTTGGTAAGTGCCAGCGAACTCGCCTCCTTTACACCCCGAGTGCCAGCCCCGCGTTCTGCACTGTGCTTTATTCGCTAGAGTCTATTCAGGGACTGTCACTCCCGGGCCTCGAGGTATTCAGGGCCTTAATCAATCAAAAGGATGAGAATCGGGCAGGTTTTTCCCTTTGAAATAAAGGAAACAATGAGTTCTGGGCTTCAAGTTCCCCCTTTTCCTTTTACGATTTTTGAATTTTTCCTGCCCTGGAGTTCTCTGCTGCTCTCTGTCTCTCTCTGTCCCCCTCCACCCCTCCTTTGACAGTTTTGATGTGAACTCAGCCCCCCAACCTTACTTGCCCACCCCCTAATTAAGGGAAACTCTGAAGGCAAGATGGGGAGGGCATAAAGTATAGCTGTTCAACAGTCCACAAGTTTTCCCTTAAGAAAAAAACAAAACAAAACGCTCCCAGTGGAGAAAATAGACAAGCTCTCTCCTAGGCCTGATGTCAAAAGGCTGATCCTGAGAGCAGCTGAGACAGGCCTATGGGACTCCAGAAAATGTCTGGACAACCCCCCCCCCCATCCATCCATCCATCCACCCTTGGGGAAGGGCGTGTGCATTCATAGTACGGAGAAGCTGTTTGGAACAGAGCCCTGTTTAACCTAGTTTCACATAAAATGATTCAGTTTGTCAGGGGGAAAGCTGTCCCATTTCCTTTTTGAGGACAAAGTGGGAGTTGGCCACCGAAGTCTGTGGCCTTATTTCCTAGACCAATTCTCATGATCAGTACCTGAGGAGCTAGACCTTGTCCAAGTTTTCTGCCTCCAAAAGATTGAGAGGAGTGGACAGAGTACTTTGAAGGTAATTGTTGAGGGTGGGGAGGACCTAAAGTGGATTTCAACCTGGCAAACCATAGGCTCAAAACTCAGCTAAAGGGAACTCTAACACTGGAAGGGAAGTGAGCAAGTGAGAAACCACTAGTGCTGGTCTCATTTGTTTTGGGGCCTAGGCTCCTTCTCCAGGTGCTCACTTGTGTTGATCCTCCACTCTCCTGCCCTACGTTCTCTCCCAGGATGCTGAAGACCCCTTTCCTGGTCCCCAGCACCGCAGGATACCCAGACTACTCTCCAGTGCCCGTAGGTTCTGGTCCAGTAGTACATTTTACATTTATAAACCAGCCACCGTGTGTTAGAAAAATGTAAAACAAGGAGGTGCCCAGTTGAGCCTGTGTAAATGTTGGGTGCCCGAAGCTCATGAATGGAAAGATGATCCATTTATTTCCTCCTCCCCAGCCTTTCCCCTCCCGATTGCTCGGAGGTTTCCATACAGCCAGAGGATTAGCTGCAGCCTTATCCACCAGGAAGGCCCATGGAGCTGAGATGGAGGGAAGTCACCCTCAGACTCTAAACAGGTGGGCCACTGCCAAAGACCTCTGGAGTCCAAATTCTCTCCAGCCAGTGCTCCAGAAATCTGACCCGAGAGGGCCAAGTTCGTGATGTTGACTAAGGGTCCTGTGCTGGTGCCATCCACTTGCCATCAGCCTGAGCCAGGCCCAGAGCCAAGGACTCGGGAGACACCTGTGTAACAGCTTGCAGGAGGGCCTGAGGGGCTCCCAGAGCTTTCAGAGCACACGCCACACCGCCACATCGGGGTTGGATATTCCAGCCGCTCTCCCAGAGGAGGCCCAGGGCCTCCTCCTGACTTCTTTCTAAAGACTTTCCGGAAGTCACAGCCACCCAGCCCCCACCTCCCGGGAGTTGGAAGGGGGCTCTCTACTTAGGCTCCTTCCCCCGTCTAGAGCCAGTGAGCCACAAGTCCAGTGCCGAATCTGGCTGCTGTACAGGTGCTAATTGGCAAAGGAGTGACACAGCAGTGGGGCTTGGGAGGCAAGAGCCAGTGTCCTGAAGCCTTGGATGGGCTTCGAGAAGCAGCATCATTTCCCTGGGCTGACATACTACTCAGCAAGTGTCCAGGGGAGTCTCCAACAGAGTTTTGAATGGTCGTGGGATCCACCTGCACCTTCTGAGCACATGTAAAATGAAACTGGAGCCTTGAGGACAACAGTAGGATAATTTAGGCAAAAAAGAAAGAAAGAAAACTAACTTGTCACCTCCATTGCTCCTCTGCCCAGTTTCAGAGGCACTTCAGTGACAGTGAGCTAGCTTGGCTGTCCCGCCCGGCCTCAGAAGAGGCCCCTCTCTGTTGAAGGCTCTTGCAGCATTTGCAGTCAGTCGTGGATCTACACCCCAGTCAAGGTTGAGTTGGGTCACTTCTGCCTGAGTGGCACAACTCCTGGAGCAGCCTGCCTGGGGATCCCCGCATAAGGGTTTTATTCCTGGCTCATGGGCTTCTCCTGGCCTCTGAGCGAAGGCCTCACTTCCAAAGGCACACGCACTTTAAGAGAAATTATGATGTGTGCGAAATCATGGCCCCAGAGCATCAGTGTTGGACAGGGGGGTGGCTGGGGTTCAGGAGGTGGTGTGTGCCACCCAGGCCTGGCTCCCTGAGCTCTGGGAGCCCGAATGGGTTGGATAGCAAGGAGCCAGGTGTCTGGGCCAACCCCAGGCCTGACTCTCAAGATTGCAGTCCCAGGTTGGGGAAATCCGACTAATCCCTTAGACCCACCAAAAGGCTGCCTGGTGCTCACAGGAAGGAAATTACAACTCCGGATGGATCATGGGCTTCCAGGCTGGATTCAAGGGCACACATTGCATTGGAGAATGTGCGGTTAAACTGATGGCCTGGCCGGGTGCCATCATGGCCGGCCACAGAGACTGTCATTACCCCACCTCCCCCCACGCGTCAGAGAGTCAGTCCGGATGGGTTCTGATTTACGAACTGGATGGGGATCTGGGCCCCGCCTTGAAATGTGGTGTGGGCCACCCTGGGTTTCCCCCTGCCTCGAGTGAGCAGGTTCTCAGTGGGGAACGTTTGGCTGGAGGAAGAGGAAGGGAAAGAAGGAAGGAGGGAGGGAAAGAAGGGGGAAGGAAGAGAACGAAGGGAGAAAATAGAGTTGTAAAAAATAAATTGAAAGGCAGAGAATTGATCCCTCAACATCTGGTCTCCTACAGACATTCATTTGGGTCTCTGAAATTTATTTTTATGCAAACCAGAAAGACAAGAAACCAGAAGCCAATTCTCCAGGGGAAAAACGGCCTTGAAAAAAATTAGTTCTCCCTGTGGGACTTGGTGTAAGAGTCCACTGGGGAGGAAGACTCGATGTTTAGAAAAGAACTTCGGTAATTGCTCTGGCTGTGCGTGTGTGTGTGTGTGTGTGTGTGTGTGTGTCTGGTGTGTGTGTGGCTAGGGGCTGAAGGACTTGGCTTAGTCCAGGGAATGATGGTATTGGCACATTCTGGGCCATCTGAGGGTGGTGGTAGCCACCGGAGCAGAGCTGTGAGAATGGAGTTGGAAAACAGGAGGATCTGCAGGGTTCCTCAGGGCACGGTGGACATCTGGGGCAAAAGGTAGGCAAATGACTACTCCAGGAAGTCCTGCCCCAGGGCGTACGGACAGAGACGGGTCTCTTCGTCCGAGTCGACCCAGCCGGGCCTGCCTGGTGGTGCAGGAGGCGAGCAGATGGGGAGGGGTGGGGGCAGGGGGTTAGAGTTAGGGTTAGGGTTAGGGACGGGGTGGGTCTGTGCGACTCGGCCGGCCTCGGCGTCTGCCCCAGCGCGGTCAGCTGCCAGCGCCTCCCAGCACTGACCCTTTCAAAGCCCGCATTAAATGTTCCCGGGAGGTGGATTTCAGCGGGAGGAACGGGGGTCGAGTAACAGCAAGGAGCAAGAAGAGAAACCTGGAAGACGCTGGTCTCGACCCGCTGGTCTCGACCCGGGGTCCCCCACTGCGTCTGGACCCACGCCACAGCGGGGTCGCGGGAGCCCGAGGAGACAGGTTGTAAGTGAGCCCGGGGCCTGCGGCCCTGTGGTCTTAAAAGGCCGCCTGGAGCCGGAGATGGAGCAGCCAACTGAGCGGACTAAACGCAACAGGTGGAGGCCGGCTCCAGGGGCCGAGCTGGGCGCGCTCTGGCCAGAGACAGAGACGCGCAGAAGCCGTCCCGGGAGTG